CACCATTTCTTAACCCAAAAGGTCACATCCTGCTGGGTCTTCATTGCTACAAACGCTTTCCTGAAGCTTTTGTCCTGCTGGAAGAGCAGGCTAATTTTCTGAAGTCGTAGCAAATCTCAGCTTTCCTAGCACGACCCTCACCCATCCTGGCAGATACTCAGCCAAGAAACAGAAGAATATCAGGTGTCCAAACCCCAGCATTAGGAGTACGGTTTGATCCTGAGGTGATGGGTCTGACAATGGCCTCAAGGTGATGGGTCTGGGGGACTTCTGGAATTCTCATAACAAAAGGATGGCCTGAATACAGCTGGGTCCCACCTGAGGCCCCTCTGCCACATCCCTCCTCTGGCTGGAAGGCAGCCAGGGCTGCTGTTTGCCCACGGTCCCACCTTGGCTGTCCTGTTTTCTCAGTGCAACTGCTCAGCTCTTGGAGAAAGGTGCCCAGGAACCCACACCCACAGAGCACACAGGCACGGCCACCTCCCCGGGCCAGCTGCAGATTAACCTTCTGAAAGGTGACAGCAGCTCTTTGGCTCCAAGGCAGGAGTCATTTTCATCAGCAGGAGGCGAGAGAAAAACACCCTCCCTGAGGGTGTGTTCCCCTAAAAGGGACAGGCTGCAGCACATCACTCTGCAAAGCCTTTGGTGGCACCAGAGCTCATGCAGACTGACCCAAGAAGGTCTGGGATGGTGTGGCCATTTCCACCAGTGTTGTTATAACCCAACACTGCAGTCACTGCAGTAACATTTCTCCTCGCTAGCAGAGAGTAAGAGTTGTGCCTCCCACCATCAAGGATGGATTATAGACATTGTAGGACATAGAAGTGGGATTCAGAATTGACCAGGAGCCCTGGCAGACCTTGTTGTGATTCTACAAGACATCATCACCTCTGACCCCTCTCTCCTTTTTGAGGCAGGGGTACTTTTTCCCATAAGCCTGAGGAAACACGGGCCTCATATCCTCAGTACCCAGCCCAGCACAGGTGGCTTCAAATGGGCTTTGCACTAAAGCTGCCAAGCAATACATTGGAGCAGCAGGCACAGGTTTCTTCTGCCTCAGTGTTGTAAGCCCTGTACCAGAGAGACTTGCTCCTGTCCTAACCTGCTGCAAGCTGTTGGCTCCAGGAAAGCAAACTGTGTCTCCACAGCTCTTGCCAAAGATATTCCTGCCCCAAATCAGTGTTCACCCTTGTGTCCTTGGCTTGCCAAGGGCACTCCTTTCTTCTGACTTGGGAGAAGAGGATTTGGCCTGTCCTGCTCCTGCCTCGGTGGGATCCACCACTCACATGGCTCCAGGTACATCATCACCCAAAAGCTGAGCTGAAAGGGCTGCTTTGCAGGATGGTGGCTTCTCTGTGAGCTGAGAGGCACCAGCTGACACAAGCTGAGAAGCTGGAATGGCACCCCACAGCTCAGAATGGTCCTGTCTCCCCTGGTGCAGCTCAGCCTCACACTGCAGCACAGGAGCACTCCTCACTCCAGTGCCCAGGCACCTTCCCCTGTCCCAAGACATTTCCATTTGCTGTCATTAACCATTAACCAGCACAGTTACCTGCCAGAGGCAGCTCAGTGAAGCCCTGACCTCCACTGGTCCAAGCCCACCAGGCCAAAGAGCAAACCTGTGTTCCCTTTCCCCTCTCAGAACTCCCTTTGCAGGCAGCTGGGCCAAATCCTGGGGCTGGTGCTCAGTCCTTCACAGCTGCTAGTCATCCCAGTCTTGTACTTGATGTACTCACTGGCTGAGATGCACTTCCTGGGGGGGGGTGGTCTTTTGCTTCAGCAAGTTATAAGCCCTAACAAGTGATGTCCTTCCATGCAGGATGGTCAATATACATGCATATATGTTGAATTCTCATCTTCTTCCCCACAGCCAAGAGCACAGCAGATGGGGGAGCAGTAAATTTTAGCCCAATCTTCCTCTACCACATCTGTAGGGGTTTGCCTTTAGGAGGCATCATGTAGATTTTCATTTGGCCATCCTGATTTTCTAGGGCAGAGAAGTGCCTGAATGAGGCTGCATGAGGAACATGTGGTAAAAGGTCACCTGCTTTGGTTGTGGGTCAAATGTTCCCAGGAATTCATGCAGTACTTCGGCTGCTACAAGTCATTTGACCCCACTTAAATACTGATGGGTCTTTGCACTGATCTCTTGAGCAGCTTGGGGGGGTTTTCCCTCCTTCCTTTGCTTTCCAAAGCGTGAGGCCCCTGCTGTGTTATCTCATCTGCAGGGTTTGGCCCTTCCCTCTTCCTCCCAGAGCTCCACACCAGAAAGCAGGGTGGAAATACCTTTGCAGTGTGTCATTTTGCAAATACCCCCTTGGCAAAGCCCTGTTTCCCCATGCACAAGGTTAACCTTGTCCACGGGACAGTGAAGGCTGAGGCAGATGTGGGCCATTCCCCTGCCAAACCTGGCTTTTCCACTTTGGCAGCTCCTGATCAATCCCCAGCATCACCCTGTGACAATGTCTTCTGTGTCTTGGGCTCACACTGCGACACTGAAAACAGCCTCATCTGCCATCTGTATGCATGGAAAATAAATAAATAAATAAAGATATTAAAGGTCTTTGAGCTCTGGGAATACTGAGTCAAGGTTTCAGACCAGAACACAAGTGCATCAGGCCATGAACATGGGAAAAAATGGTTGGGCAGGAACATCTCAGATCATGTTTCAGTTATGAAAGTCAGGCTATTCTGTTTTCCACCAGCACTGAGTTAAACTGCTCGGAAATAATGTTTTCTGCTCTATAACCCCATGGCATGACCAGCATTAGCAGGAAGCAAAAGTGCCTACAGCTCAGCACTAAATCAGTCCAAGTTTTATGACAAACATTTTCTTTTCCCTCAGCACTGACTGTTCTAAAGTGCGTGATATCTATTCCTACAGGTTTGGGCCCCTTGAAAGCTCACCAGGATTTATTTATATATATTTATTGTCCCTTTTCACCATGGCAAAGGAAAGGAGTGGGGACAGGCAGCTCAGACATCACCTGTGCCTGAGGTGGTTACCAAAGCTGTGGGTATGGGAATGACATGCTTCATCCCAGAGCTCAGATTCATGGAGCTGCAGCCATGGAAACAGGCTGGTTTACATCACCATAGATCAGCACTGAAAAGGGCCCAGACACATGACAGCTCTTCATTAAAATCTTGGTGCTGGGGATAATGACTGATGTGGCAAAAGGGGAGTGGGAGGATGGTGGAGTCTGGGGCTGATCCTCTGGGATCTTTAGGTGTCCTCACCCCATCTTCTAACACATCTCAACAGAGCTGCTCATGTGTCTGTCACCACTGGGCCAGCAGCTGGCTTAGGGTTGACTCCATGGATAAAAGCAGAGCCTGTCACAGGTCCCCATCTTCTATGGACTGGAGGAAGGCACAAAGCATCATTCCTCTGCTCCCTGCAACACAGGAAGACACTCAGCATGATTCAGTGAAAATGGAAAATGAAAGGTGAAGGCTGTTGCAGGTTTTCTGAGCTGCAGCCTGCTGACATGAAGGGATCAATTGCTTGCTAAGAGTCCCTTTTGCATCTTCAACCATGAAACTAAGATCTCTGAATTGCTCTTCTCAGCTATGGGCACACCCAAGTGGAATGAGCAGGTTCAGCCTGCACCCTGATTTGCAGCCATCTGTGATTAGTGGTACATTGGGCTGCAGCTCATGTCCCAGGTATGTTGGGTGCTCTTCCCATTACAGAACCCTTGGGATCAGTGGACAAGAACTGTGGAAGCTGTGGTGGTTTAAAACCATCCTGATGCTTGGCTTAGCTGCTGAGCTGATCTGTATCTATTTTCAGTTTGTGTGAGTTAATCTAAAAACTTAAGGAAATGGCAAGAGAAGCCTGGTGTGTAGGAAGGGAGGGACTTGGATGGTTCCCAGTCCTGAGAGGTCGTGTGGTCTCCATCCTTGGAGATACTCAAAACCCAGCAGGACACAGTCCTGGGTCCCCCAAAGACAGGGTGAGAAGTGGTGGCTCCACCACTCTGCAATGAGGGATGTTGCCTCCACCAGCAGTGAACAGGACCATGCAGGTGCCAGGCAGGAGCAGCAGGCACCGAGAGGAGATGGTTTGTCTCCAGGTCACCCGCAGCCTGTGGCATCAGGGCAGCTTTTGGAAAGGGCAGCTGTTTTTGTTTCCTTAATAAGCAGCTCTGGTGCAAGGTAGGGTATTTTAGGGACATGGTTTAGTGGTGGATGCAATAAGGGTATTTTAGGGACATGGTTTAGTGGTGGACTTGATGACCTGAAAGGTCTTTTCCAACCAAAACAATTCTCTGATTCTATGATCCCCAGACACACCTTTCTGCCTCAGAAGGTGGCCAAACACTGCCAGCTTTGCTGGGGTTTTCTGGTTCATCATTACTTCTCTCCCAGGAGGGCAGCCTGGTTGCATGCTCCAGTGCTCCATTACATCTCCATTCCAGCCAGGAATTCTGAGGGCAAAACCTCTCCCCTGCTGCCCGTTGCCCTGGGCTGCAACACACCCTGGGCTCAGGGAGACCCAGCTCAGCTTCACGGGGAGCAGGACCAGCCTCCCTGCCCCAAGCACGTCTCCCTTGGGACCAACTGTGCCAACATTTGGGATTGTCAGAGGCAGGGACTGGAGCTGAGATTCTTGGGCCCAAGCACTAACGTGGCACGGAGCAGCACTTGGCTTTGTCCAGCAGAGAAAAGCAGGGAGGGAGGAGGAAAAACCCTCCCCTGCCCTTTTAAACCTGGACAAACTAGGTTTCTAATTAAAGCAGCACTTAATCATCTGTAAATGAGGAGCTGGTGGATATTTGATGCAAACAGAGAGTTGGTTGAAACTCTCTCACGCCGGCTCCCTCTTTGTCCCTCGGTGAGGCTGGGAATGGGTGTGATCTCCGGGTAGGAGTGTCTCTGTGGTTAAGTAGAGGATTGAGTTACCGAACGCGGCTGTTCCCGAGCTGGCAAGGTAGCAGAACAGCAAACAAAAAGTGCCTTGGAACTCCCTCACTGCAGAGGAAAGGCAGGGAGAGCTGTGAGGAGCCCACACGCTGCCCGGCAAGGTAAGAGCTCTCCTGCACCTCCCAGGGTTGGCGTTCTGAAGGCCAGAGCTGTTGGGTGGCTTTTGTGCTGGGGGATAGTCAGAAACAAACAGCAAACCAACAACAACAACAACAACAAAAAAAAGTGATACTTTCCCTGTTTTTATAAATACTTCTCAGCTGGTGTGAGGCAGGATGGCTTTGCTGGAAGCAACGAGCCCATCCTGGTGAGTTTCGGGTTGGAACAAGGAGCCATCTCAGCTCCCTGAGCACCCAGCTGGGCCAGGTTTGAGCTCCAAGGACACAGGCTTTTGGTGGAGTTCTCTCTCTGCACAGCCTGGCTTTGATTTCACACCACAGGCCACCGACAGCATTTCGTTTTGGCTGGGTTTGTTCTGTGCTCTGTGGCTGGGAGGATCTGCTCCCAGCCCACCTGCCTTTGCGGGGCTGTCCCGGATCCTGACAGCGACCCAAGAAAGTGGTTGGAAGCTCTTATGGACAGCTGTGCCAACGGCCAAACAGCTGGGCTGCTTTGCTCTGTCAGTGCAGGGTGTTTTCTCATCCCCTTGGCTGGAGATGCAGGTTGCCCTGGGATGCAGTGGAGCAGTGAGGGAGCCGCGGGGTTTTCCTTAGGCGCGCCCGTCGGGAGCGTCGATGTTGGACACCCAGGAGCAGCACCAGGAATCCTTGCCCGTGGGAGGTTCACGCTCAGCCCCCGGCAGAGGGAAACAAACATCAGAACAGTCCCAGCAAACCAGCCCTGCTTGGGCACGGAATCCCCCGGGGTGCTGCTGAAGGGGCGGGTCAGAGCCTGCAGATGGAGGTGGGATGATCCATCAGTACCTCCTTTCCAGCCGGGTTGCAGCATTCCCGGCTGGAGGCCGATGCAAGGATGGGCAGGAGCTGGGGCTATCAGTAGCCCTGATCATCTTCCCTCCTCTTCCTCCCCTCCTCTTCCTCCCTGGGTGAACAAGCCGCCCTTTTCCTCCTCCAGCTCCTTCCCACCGCTGGACCCGCAGGTCTCATGTTGTTATTTCCTAGGCAGGAATTTGTGGCAGCAGTTGCCACAGCAAAGGTTTCATGCCATGGGCGCAGTGTCATCCTGTTCTCCTGCATTCCCATGTGTCTTGGGGCTCCTGGTTAGGTTGAGGCAATAAATCCCTGCTCTTGAACGCCTAGAGATGCTGAAGATGCTCATGGTGTCTCCTGATCTTTTCTATGGAGCTGTGCAAGTTTTTTTCTGGACTCCAAGCATGGGAGTTGTGACTTTTCCTGCTCTGGAGCCCCCGAGGAGGTGTGGGACATGTGAGATGAAGGAGAGGCACCGTGAACTCTGTGACTTCAGGCTGGGTTTGTCCGGCAACCTGGCCCTTCAGCAGCACCTGTGCTGCAGTCCTTCCTCCCCAGCCAAAGAGGAGATGGGCTCAGACACCTGCCCCATGCTTGGAAGTTGCTGGGGCTCTGCTCTGTGCTGGGCACATCCTGATGGACCAAAAAACCTTCCCTCAGTTTTAACAGAGCTAAATTCACAGTAGCCCACTCGGAGGCAGAGCCCTGAAATGCCCCGGGTGGTGAAGGGCAGCTCAGGGCACAGTGAGAGCCTTTTTGCTACCCAGCCCAGCAGCATTTTAGCCACCCCTGGGGACTGCCTGTGCCACCACCCCCCCCCCCCCTTCTCAAGGTCCTTCCTTCCTCATAGGGAATGGGCTCTTTTGCAGCCTTCTGAAATTCTCTTTGGGAATTACACAAATCCACACATTGGGTTGTTGTTGGTTTTTTTTAATGTATGAAACGTCCAATTGCATGAGGAAAGACTCCACTGTGGACACCCCACACCCAAAATATCTCTGCTCCAGCTCTTGCTTTGGTCCCAAACATTCTTCAGCTTCTGCTGGCCCCTCAGAGAAGCAGCTAGTACAGTTACAAGGGGATACATGCTCTTACCACTCATTAAAACCTCTCTTCTCATGCTCTGCCTTTCCACATGATACAACCCTGGAAATAGGACTAATTATGATTTATCCTGGATGTTTATACATTTTCACTGTATTTCCACCCATTCTGGGTGTAAAAGGACTGCAGGGAAGGATGAACATGGTAGCTAAGTCTTTAGCATCCTTCAGTTCAGAAAAGTCCTCTGAGATGTCATGTTAATTTCCTGCATCTGATGATGTGCATTTGCTTCAGCTACCTTGATTTCCAAGGCCCTCTGCTTGAAAAACAAATCCTACCATTTGTTACCTGCCTTTATCTGAGCCTATTCATGCTTATCTGAGGCAGCTCTGGGCAGAGCAACAGTGGAACTTGTTATTACTTTATATCCACGTCAAAGGGGGAGGCACAGGAGATGCTAAATTGCATGGTTGAGCTCCATCTTGGGCAGTTCCTGTGGAATGAGCTATTCAGAGCAGCTGACCTCTCCTACCTAGAAATGTCCTGCTGCCATGCCCTGGGATGGAAAAATAAGTTTCTGGCTGGCCCTTTATTTAAAACTGCTCTTACAAAAACAGCTGGACAGGGTTAAAAACAGGCAGGGAAAGCATGTTCTGTCTGGGTGACACAGATGGAGTTACCCACCTTCCCTTTAGGAGGGTGTGAAGGCTTAAATTACTGTCCTTTGTTGCAGTCTATAAAATAGCTGCCTGGGTTTGAGCAAATCCCACCCATCCCAGTTTTTCAGATGCCTTGAATCCCTTCCCTGTGCTCAGACAAAACTCCCATTGGCAGCTCGGGGTGCAAAAGGCCATCCTGTGTGAATGGCTCTTTCTCAAGCTGTTCCCAGCCTTTGCAGGGATGTTTTATTCATTTGGCTTTATGCAGTTGATGTGCTGCTCTCTCAAAAGCTGCCCTTCTTCTCCCCCAGGAAGGGATCACACACTCTCCTGCTGTGGGCATGTTGTGGTCCTGCTTTGGGCTGGGTTTGGCTTTTTATGCCAAGTGAGTGCCAGGCACGGGGACCTGTGGGCTGGGACTTTGCTCTTCTGGAGTGAGTCCAGAGGAAGCCACAGAGATGGTCTGAGGACTTGAGGTTGTTCAGTCTGGATAAGAGTGAGCTCTGGGGATACCTTAGAGCACCTTCCAGTACCTGAAGGGGCTACAGGAAAGCTGGGGAGGGGCATTTTACAAGGGCAGGGAGTGATGGGATGAGGCAGAATGGTTATAAGCCCCTCACTCCAAGAAGGACATTGAGGGGCTGGAGATTGTCCAGAGAAGGGCAATGGAGCTGGGGAAGGGTCTGTCCTACAAGGAGCAGCTGAAGGAACTGGGGGTGTTCAGCCTGGAGCAAAGGAGACTGAGGGGAGACCTTCTCACTCTCTACAACTGCCTGAAAGGAGGTTGGAGCAAGTGAGGGGGTTGGTTTCTCCTCCCAAGGAACAAGTAATAGGACAAGAGGAAACAGTCTCAAGTTGCCCAGGGGAGGTTTAGATTGGATATTGGGAACAATTTCTTTCCAAGAAGGGTTGTCAGGCCCTGGCCCAGGCTGCCCAGGGCAGTGGTGGAGTCACCATCCCTGGAGATATTTAAAAGCCATGTAGATGTGGTGCTGAGGGACAGGGTTCAGTGGTGGGCTTGGCAGTGCTGGGTTAATGGTTGGACTTGATGATGTTAAAGGTCTTTTCCAAACCAAACACTTTGATGATTCCTTGCTGTGCCATGTCAGCAGAGAGCTGTGCTCGGGTGGGCATGAGCCCCAGGGCTGGGCAGAAGAGGGTTTAGCTCACAAAATAGTGATGCACCAACACTGTTCCCCATACAGCACGTAGCACCACAGGAGCAAAGCTGTGCTTCCTTTTTGCCCCATGTCCTTCTGTCACTCATTCCCAGCAACCTGCCTCATCTCCATTTGCCCTGTTGTCTCCCAGGACCAGAACAGAGAACAGCCATTGAAAAGCCATGTTGAGAAGGAGACCCAACAGAGGGGTCTCTTGGGGGTGGGATGGTGGTGAGGCATCTCCTTAAGGAGCAATTGCTTAGAGTGAGGAATCAAATGGAGACTCAGTGGCAGCCACCAAGTCACAGCAGGGCCAAGAGTGACCTCACAGCCCACCCTGGTTTGGAAGGGCTGGATGAAACTGATAAACACACCAGGTATGTGGTGCTGAACTTCCCTCTGGTTTCACACAACTCTAGAGGATATAACTCTGGCACGGGTGACTGGTACCAAAAATGTGACTGTTGTTGGGGTTCCCTTGAGAGAAGGTCCTGTGAAGGTCTGGCTCTGTTTCAGGTGGAAATCTGGGTTGGATTGGTTTCTCTCTGCTTGTTTTGACACAAGTCAGGGGTCTTTCAGCAGAGGTGTGCCATTCAGAAAGGATGAGCTTACCTTTGCAGCTCAAGAAACAAACCTTTCCCTGAGTAAATCCATTGCTTCTCATCCAGCCAGAGGTCCACAGTCACCTCTGGAGTCCCAGGTTTAGGTCCAGGTCATTTATTTTGCCACGCAAAATGCAAAACCCTTTTTATTTATTTATTTTTTTCCAGAAGTCCTGGCTTTCAGTTCCCAAGTTTGATGTGATGCTTGCAGGTCTGAACTGGAGCAAAACTGGAACTGCCCCTTCCTTTTGATGGTTAATATTAACCTCCCTGCTTTCCACTGGGAAGACAATGCTCTGGAAACCGGTTCCCCAGCTGCTCTGAATGGAGCCAGGCCAGCACCCTGGCTCCATCACCATCAAACAAAGGTCCTGATAGCTAGGACTTAGCCAACTGCACTAGTTAATCTGTTCACCAGGAAAAAACCTGCTTTTTGTCCTGCAGACATACATGTGTGCATGTTGACCTCTGCACGTTCTTGCAATTAATGTAAAACTGTTACATGAAGAAGCAAAAATCATAACTCTTAGACTTGCTCTTTTTTTTCTTTTTTTCTTTTTTTTTTTTTTCTGAAAGAAGGACCAGGTGGGCACCAGTGCTTGGGTTTAACTGTGATTTTGTTCTTGGTTTTTGGTTTGGTAGACACTGAGAGATCTGGCAAGCCAGGTCTAGGGGCACAGTGGATGGGACCCTGAGAGAGGTGAAGG